TAGAAACTGTTAGTTTCCTACTTTATACATGAAACTAGGACGGGGATGCATGGAGCATCTCTCCTGGGGTCCGGGGACCAGAAATGCCAGAGCGGGGGATTTGAGTCTAGGGTCCTGTGGAGATGCTCCTGCCAGGGCTGGGCCTTCACAGAGCTGGTTGGGCCCTTGCCCAGCCCTGGCCAGCAGAGAGACCTTGAGAAGGCTATTTAATTGTTCTATGTCTCAATTTCCTTACTGGTAAGACAGATCTAAAACAGGAGCCTTCAAATGAGCCTATTAGGGGATTAAATGAGTTAATTCTCATAAAAAGGGCTTGGCTCACCACAGACACTCACCACCAGGATTATAATATTTTAGTTACAGGCATTTTCCCTAATCCCCCTATTAAAGGCAGAGGCTAGCCTTGGCCTCCCAGGGCCTTGTGTTCGCTGAGAACCTGAGAATCACTGATGAGATGTGAATATTACATAAAAGAACAAATGGGGAACTCAAAAAGAGACAGTTCTATTATTCGTATTTCATAAAGGTAGAATCTTATTGCAGGCAATTCTATTAAAATAAAAGGTTATAAAATCCAGTTTGAATATTTTTTATTGGATAACAAATTTTCTCAGTATAGCCTCTATCATACAAGCTTTCCTTTCCTTTTTTTTTTCTTTTCAAACACTCTGCCTGTACTGGGCGTAGACCATATTGCGGCCATTCGACCTCCAGAGTCCTGGGGAGGAAAGAGGGTGCTTGCGTGAATGGAAGTTGGGAGCTGGGAAAGAACTGGCCTTCTTCGTCCCTTCTCCACGAAGAATTCCTAAGGGCCGAGGACAGTGGTGTCTAATCCAGTAAAGGCTTGGAGCTGGGTGCACAAGGCTATAGCCCAACTGCCTGGCCAGTGGGCCCATGCTGGAAGCAAGGCCCAGGGGCGACCGGGCCTGGGCCACACTGCCTCCCATTTCCTTTGTGCCTCACCTTGCTCCAAATTCTAGGTTCCAGGATCTTCACCGCCCTACACAAAACAGCCCCCAGAATGGGAAGGAAGGGGCTGGGGGTGAAGGTCACATTTCTGTCCAGGATCCACCTCTGTTTCCTTGTCCCTTTGCATTTCCCCCTCGGCTCTGTCTTGTGGCTGGATCTTGAAGGCTGAGGTGATGCAAAATCTCTCAGCTCTGAAAGAAGAAATGCAGATAGTGGGTGAAGTTTGTTCAGTAAGAACCACTTTTTTACCATAGTCCCCAGGCCCCTCGGGGGTCACCTCCTTTTTTAAATGGAATAACATTGTTTCTGCTTATCAAAACCATACATACTCAGTGTAAAAAAAAAAAAAAGTAAGCAAAATAGAAAGGTATACTGTAGGGGATGAAAATCACATACATAAATATCACCGTATTTTTAGACGAATGAAACGGGCAGAGAGGGAGACAGGCGCATTTGGAGTCTTGCAGCCTTGCGTTTCCGACGAAGATGCTGAGGCCCGTCACTTCCCCCTAGTTCTCTCTTCTCACTTCGCTGTCAACAAAACATCTGACCTGCAGAGGGGGGTGGCTTGGATTTTGCTAAAAACAGAGTAATGATGCTCAGACAAAAGCAAAGTACTTTATGTCTATTTTGGTTTCTTTTAAGCTAAGCACAGATTTCTCTGGAAAGGATAGGAGCTGGCTGGTCTCCCTGCATGGAAAGCAATAGCTCAGCGAAGCACCCGCTTTCTTGACCTCCAGTCTCGCTCCTGATTCTTGATGACAAAACACATTCCGTGCCCTTGATTGATTTAGCGGAGAAGCTGCAATATTGGAGGATGGAACTCAGCCTGCGCTGCGCTGCGAGCAAGTGGGACGCCTCGCCTGAGCTGGTCTTGTGTTTTGAGAGAAGGTGAGGTGGGCTCACCCAGGCTCCTTTGTTCTCCCAGGGCAACAAGCTGCCTGAGGCAATTATTCACACCCTCTCCCTGCCCCATTTTCCCTCTCCTATGTTAACCCTTGACCTCTGTGACCCACACATTCAGGTTTTTATATTTGTTCTCAGGCTCACTTGGCAGTGTCTTTGGCTTCTGGTTGCCAAAGAGCCCAAGTTTTAGGGCTGGAAGCGGCCAGCTGGTCTACCTTCACGTTCTCCCCCTCCCTGTATAAGTAGGTCTCAGGTTATTCTGCTGTTTCCCATCAGAGCTGGGCCTACAAGCCCCTCCTCTCCCAGTTCCAAGCCTGATGTTCATCACCCGCAGGATGTCAGCAACACCCTCCCCCCAGTTTTATAGCTTGAAAAATCAGACAAGATTTCGTGCATTTTTTGAGATGCATAAAACTGTTTTCAAGATTAAAGTATCTTATTTCGAGGTTCTGTGGAAAGCATGAGATGTCCTTGCTTGTGAAGAATTGGACGCTGGAGATCGGAATTGCAGCCTCTGGTGGCCAGCCGATCACACACCGTGGGGATGAGATCACCCAGGTGAGAAATTGTAGGCCTTGAATTTCCAGCCCCTCATTAGTCATAGACGCTCACTGCCTTCCAGAAGCCTGGAGCCACAGTTCCAAATGCTTATCTGGGACTTGAATAGAATCATCCATGACACACTGGGACTAGAGTTCTTTTAAATGTCATGATGCTATGAAATGATTCAAGCCCATTCTTGAGCCTTCAGGTTGGGAGCTGGGTTGTCACCAGCCCCTTTCTGGGTTTCACATGAATCACAGAGTTTTGGACCTGAAATAGCCTAGATTTCACCTTCTTCAAATCCCTCATGCTACGGAGGTGGAAGCTGAGGGTAGAGGTCAGAGGCTTTGCTGCTGTCTGCAGGAATTGGTGCCCGGCTGGGGGCCAGAATGTGTGTGTCCTGACCCTCGGTCCAGGACATGGACCCCAAATGGCTTCTTGGTTCTGGGGTCACATTTGTAAATTGGGCATGTTTTGTTCTGTAGTTTGGGGGAGAGGGCAAGTCTTGCTCTGATTTAGTAGATGGAAGATTGGGTGATTGCTTCGTAATACTCATTTACTTGGTACAAATGTTTATTGAGGACCTGCCAGATGCGGCCAGATGTGGCCAGAATGGAATCATTAGAGGAGAATGTTACCTAATATCTTTAGGGAGAATGTCTTCCAATATCCCCGAATCTGACTGGTTTTAAGCTCTCATCAGGGCTACCTGATTAAAAAATATAGGCCCTGAACCCCCTGTTTTCCCACTCCCCGTGATTCAGTGGGTCTGGGGTGGGACCCAGGCATCTTTATTTTTAAATAGTTCCCCCAGTGATTCTGATGACCTGCCAAATTTGGGTTCCGTAGGCACCCTTACGAGCTTCATTTAGAATATCAGACAAGGTGAGTGATATCCCAAGGTGACACACAATTTGTAGGTGAGGAAACTGAGTTTCACACAGATTGAGTGGGTTTTCCCAGGTCATAGGCTAGTTAGGAATGAATGGGTTTAATGCTGCTGGGGTAAAACTAGGGTCTTCCCAAAGACCCCGCAGTCCCAAAGCCTCTGCTGGTGCCTGTGGGGATATTTTGCCAACCCAGAGAGAAGGGAAAAGAAAGGTTTTAGCCTCCATCTGTGTTTTGGTGAATTTGCCCTGAGTTTTAAGGGGAGAATCAGGCTCAGTCGGATGTAATAATGAAACGAATGCTTGGAACGCTTGCCATGTGCTAGGTGAGAAAGAGCTGGGATTGCACTATTCATTCTAGTGTGGAAAGGAACACAAATGCCATCAGGATTTTGATATGGACTCCCACATTGGGTCAAAGACCTGGGAAACCACGGAGAGACAGGGTATCTTCCAGCGTCCAATCTGAGGTTTTAGATTAATAAAGCACCGTTGCTAGGTTTCACTCTAGCTATGGAAAGATCATTGCTAGCATTGTATTGGGCATTCATACTTATTACTAGGCACTTTCACCAGTTAATTGTATCCTTCAAGGTGGGTATTATTATCCTGGTTTTATATCTGAGGAAACTGAGGCTGAACTAGTTAGAGAATTAACCAAGTTTACAGAGATGGAAAGTGGTTCAGTCAAGATTTGGATCCAGGTGCCCCTGACTCTGAAGCCCAAATGCAGAGGGGAAGACCAGCCTTTTTGCTGCCTGCCCAGCTTTATGGAACAGGTCCATGTGTGTTTCACTAACACTGTGTTCATTGAAGGCAGGCACTGCATGCTGCATTCGGCTTTATGTTCCCTCCTCGTGCAGGAGGTCACAGTTCTGCACATATTGTAAATAAGCAATGTTTCCTGGGCTCCTGGGCGCCTGGGCGGATCAGTTGGTTGAGAGTCCGGCTCTTGGTTTCTGCTCAGGTCAAGATCTCAGGGTCAAGGGATCCAGCTCCGCATTGGGCTCTGCCCTCATCGGGGAGTCTCCTTGAGATTCTCTCTGTCCCTCTGCCCCTCCCCCTGCTCTCTTTCTCTCTCAAATAAATAAATAAAATCTTTTTTAAAAAGCAGTGTTTCCTGAGTAGAGAAATAAAGCAGGAGCATGTCTCCACGCATCGACACCTGTAGCTTTTATTTGTTTGCACATGAAACTATATCAAAAGAAGAATAAACTGCTCAGAAAATAAGACGGATTCAATAAGAAATGGTAATCACTGAAATTAATTTTTTCCCCCGGGGTATTCCCTGGAAAAAAAAACAAAGAAAATCTGATTGATACTGTGGAGGATACTTGCGCAACCCCCCCCCCCCCCCCCCGCAACTATCTTCTTTTGTAATATTATCAGTGGCTCTTTCTGAAGCTTTTGCTGCCTTTTCAAAATCTGGAAGAAACAACAGGGGGGTCAATTCCTTTAATTTCAGGAGCATGCAGGTCCGTTTGTAACAATAAAAAACTCTTTTCAAAATTAATTAAATCGACATAGCTTCATCTGTGGGATTGACTGATATCACGTATCTACTGAATGAGCGCCATAAACTCTGGAAAGCTGAATTGTGGTAACCATGGCAACGAAGAAGGGGGCCCCTCTCTTTCCGCATCCTGGGAAGCGCGGCCAGAACGCTCTGGGGAAGTTTGGCCTGCTGGTCACGCCGTAGATCGCGATGCATGCTGGGTCTTGGTAACATGGCGTCCTCCTTGGTGCGCTGATGAGAGGAGTTTCACTGTAGCTTCAGACCAGAGGGCAAAACTCTCCAAGCCCAAGAAGCCCTCGCTACCTGTCTTCTTCGCGCCTCCGTGCCGCCCTTTCCTCAGGCCCGGTTCTCAGGCAGGAGAGAGCCACGGGGCCGAGGGCCAGGACCGGCCAGGCCGCGCGGATCCGGGGCTGAGGAGCCGGCTGCGGACGAGCACGATGGGCCGGTCCTGGCCCTGGGTGCAGCAGCCCCGGCGAGCGCGGGACCCGCGGGGCTGAGGGCGGCTGCGGGAGAGCCGACGCGCCCGAGCCTCTTCCCCTCGGCCGCAGACCTCAGCCCAGCCGGCGAACCGGCACCGGGAGCGGGCGGCCTTCCTGTGCTCCGATCGGCTGAGGCGTTGGAGGCCGGGAGCGGGGTCGTCGTGAGGCCCGAAGTCCGTCGCGCCTTTGGCAGCTTCGCTTACAGCCCGTCCCGAGACGTTCAGCCTGGGACGCAGCCGGGCGCTTGGGACCTGGGGGCGTGCGTGTGGGTGCGGAGCTCCTCGGTGTGCCCGCGCCCCCCGGCCCTTCCCAGCGCCTCCGCCTGCCGCGCAGGGTCGGGAGAGAAGGGGCTCAGACGTCTTGCCCGAGCAGGGGCCTCCGCACGCTCCCCTTCCTGCCTTTTCCGTCCCCCCTTTCCTGATTCTCACCGCCCCAGCTCTGGCACGCGCTGGTGTTGAAGGCTGGAGGTTCTCGAGCGCTTGCTGCCAAGGACTCCCCCACCCCCTCCGCCCCTGATGGAGTCCGAGGCGCTGCAGTCCCCTCTTCTGGGACTCGGGGAGGAGGACGAGGCCGACCTTACAGACTGGAACCTGCCTTTGGCCTTTATGAAGAAGAGGCACTGCGAGAAGATCGAAGGCTCCAAATCCTTAGCTCAGAGCTGGAGGATGAAGGATCGGGTAAGTGGACTCCGGCTGCGCCGCGCGGACCTTGGTACTTCTTCCCACGAGGGAAGTTCAGAGCCAGGAGCGTGTCCTAGGGAGAGCCGCGGTCCCTTTTCCCAGCCACAGGCTGCAGGTCAGCCAGAGAAGCACGAGCCCTTTCAGACTCTAGCTTTTGGCTGTAAATGGAAAAAGGGTGTTTTGGTTGGGAGTTACGCGCTGGATAATGTTACTTTGATTCAAACTAAGTTTTGGTCCAGACAATAAAAGTTCACCAAGTCCGAAAGTACAGCCCTGCAAGTGTTCACACACTCTTTGGTATACTTAGTGCTCTTTTTTTTATTTTTTTTTAAAAGATTTTATTTATTTATTTGAGAGAGAATGAGAGAGAGAGCACATGAGAGGGGGGAGGGTCAGAGGGAGAGGCAGACTCCCCACCGAGCAGGGAGCCCGATGCGGGGCTCGATCCCGGGACTCCAGGATCATGACCTGAGCGGAAGGCAGTCGCTTAACCGACTGAGCCACCCAGGCGCCCTTTTTTATTTATTTGAGAGAGAGAGAGAATGAGAGACAGAGAGCATGAGAGGGAGGAGGGTCAGAGGGAGAAGCAGACTCCCCGCTGAGCAGGGAGCCCGATGCGGGACTCGATCCCGGGACTCCAGGATCATGACCTGAGCCGAAGGCAGTCGCTTAACCGACTGAGCCACCCAGGCGCCCCTACTTAGTGCTCTTAACACTGGAGGAAAGACACCTTGGGCTGGAATACTTGTACCCACGTGGTTAGGCTGCTTCTGTGGCTGGTTTACTTTTTTTGTCGGGCTCTGGGAAATGCTGTGCTGGGAAACAACATTACTGGGAGATGTTTAGGTGGTAACAAATTAATGCAAAGTTATTTTAAAGTTACAATGAACTTCATCATAGCCTTCTAAACAGCTGGTCTTGAATCCAGACTTTTATTCCTTCTATGTGGTGTCATGTTGCTGTAGCTTGGAGACAGACTTTCTCCCACGGTAGAGTTGGAGGATGATGGGTTGGAACTTGGGTCCAGATTTTAGGGGGTCTCCATGGTGTTGGAGCGTGAACAGTGACTCACAAGCGGCTAGTAGGAAAGAAAACAGCCAATTTTGGTGAACCTGTCTTTAATTAACCTCTATTTCCTGGTCTCTAAAGCAAAAGGGTGGGACCCTCTCATCTGTGCACACTTAAAATTTGTCTTTTTATGATTTTTCCTTCAAGACTGTCTTTATTTATTTAAACATTTCAGTGTTACAAGAAGGGTAGTTGGTGTTACATTGCAGTGTGAGTGCTCTGGGCTTATGAACATGCTTGTGTAAGATGATTGTTTTTTGTATATGACGTTGAATCTATGTAAGATCACCTAAGTTATGGTAATTCTACTTAGTCAATCACTAGTAACCAGTCCTTCAGTTATTGATTTGGCTTAGGAAAATTTGTTTCATCCAAAGGTAATTTAAGGAGTAAAAGAGATGTTTATTGGAAGAGATTGTATAAAGTCTGTCTTATGGACATCTTTAATACTAATTCATAGTTCAAAGCTTTTGTGGTTGTTATGCATATATAAAAAGAAACTTATTGTAAAGTAACTGTCTAATCTTTTTTTTTTCCCATTCTACTATTTGGAGGACTTTTTTTTTTTTCTTTTTTCTTTTGAAATGTGGTTCCCTCTGCTACCCTAACCAATGCTCAAACTGTTCAAACTGATTAATGGATATATGTTTGACCTTTTAATTAAAACATCAATTTGTGAATGATCAGCATTCCCTGATAAGCTCATCATAGGTTATGAAGAGAAAAGTTCTGAGTAATTACTGAGATTACTCCTTAGAAAAGAGCCAGGGGAGGACGTTTGCTGTGTCTGACCTTTGCAAGCTGTTTAATGAAGAAGAAAATCAGAAGCTAATATTTTCAGTTCGGTGTGTGAGAGCTTGGCATCTTAACAGTCCTCATCATCTCTTCCTCGGACTCAGACCCAGGGGACCTTTTAGCACCCCTGCCAGGACAAAGGTTGCAAATCCAAATGATGCTAATAGCTGGGAGGTAGCATAAGAGAAGGAAGCAGGCCAGATAGAAGAATGCACAGGTTCACAGGTAAGTGGCAGCTGACAGTGACTTGTGTCCGATTGTCTGGAGGGTGGGTTCTGGAGAGCACAGGCCACAACAGCTGAAGGGGCAGGTGGGCCTCAGCCAGATGGCTTCCTTTCTCTTTTTACTTTTTCTTTGAGAAGCCAGAAGGCTTTGTTTTTAAATGTGAAGCCTTCCAGTTTAAAAATGTTGGCACTCTCTCAGATGTTATAAAACACAAAGGAGTCTAGCACTGCAGGCCACACAAACCCCATTTGCGGGGCTGATTCTCGCCAGTGGGTTACCTGGGTGTGACTTGTGCTCTGTTCCCTCAACACCAGACAGCCGCTCCGATTCCAGGCATCTTGAGCGTGCAGGCATCCAGGCTGGGCTGTCTCCCCTCCCCCCCACAGTGTGATGGAGCAGCACTGTAGTAAAGCGACACACGTGGGCCAGGAGTAGGGCCTACTCATACCACTCGCCCTGGTGAGCTATTGACTGCCCTAAACCCAGGCGCAGCCTCTGCTTCTTCCTGTGATCCATGTGTAACTCCAGATACTTTTATTTTGTGTATATATTAGTGGTTACCTTTTGGTGTCCTATTGAATGAAGTTGTTAAGGATTCCTAAAATTGACATCTTCACTAAAGTTGACTGATGGCCCTAAAAAGTTTTCTGCCACTCAACGTTCGGCATCCTCAGAGAGAGCTACAGCACTTGCCCACTGTCAGTTGGGATTCACACAATTTTTGTTTTGGATCAGTGCTGGTTTTCAAATGCCAGTATTATTGCATTTTAATTACTAAGCTACTGTTAGTTTAATACTGCTATTATCAAATTAGTTTGTCATTTGGTGAATTCTATGTATAGTGAATGATACGTATATGCATCAATAGTATCTTTGGCTTGTAGTTTGCAAATAACTAGACGTGTATAAATTGCAGCGCAAAATGAATCATTCATAGGCCTGTGGCTAATGCTGATGTGTATACATGTTCCCCATTTGTGTTTTGCTGTGATACTTTATGGTTATCACCAAGTTCATTCTCCTCCTGGAGAGTGGGCATGTGGGAACAGTTGGTCTCAGATTCATCTTTACCTCACACGTGTGGGCCAGAATCAGGGAGACTAGAGAGCTGTTGCTCTCAAAACCACGGACACACACACACTATACCTACACGTGGGTAGGAGACGTAGATATAAAATGATGAGCCAGTTCCCAAACTGGTCTCTTGACTAATTGTCACCTGGCTTTGTAAGCGGTACTTTGGATCAGCCATGGAGGAAGCCGAGTGGATGCATCAGAGTAATGTATGGGCAATAGAAGGGTAATCCTACATTGCTCACCTTGCATCCTCTCTCATTTACTCCAGTTAGGCTCCCAGCCTGGCATTGAGACCACCCTCCACAGGCCATCATTGGTTGCTAAATCTAAACGTCACTTCTCTGTCCTTATCTTGTCTGACCTCTCCTCAGCATTCCGCAGTGGGCCACTCCCTCCCCGCTTAGACTCTCCTCACCTGCTTCCGTGTCTTCCTGAAACTCCGGGTCTCCCTCTGGGGTCTTATCGCTCCTCCTCAGACCCCTTTGCTGTTTGACAGCTCAGTGTGGAGCACTCGAGGACTTGATCTTGGGCCCTCCCTCTTTGCTGTGTAGGCCCCTCACCAGTGGGTCTTGTCTATGCTCATGCTTAACATGCGGTTCACGGGCCAGTGACTTGCACATCTGAGGTCTTCACTTCTGACCTGGCCCTGGAGCTCCCGAACACCCCTCTGCCTTAGCATTCTCCGCCTCAGCACATGGCCACTGCCCCCACTCAGGTGTTCATGCTGTCAATCCAGGATTTACCCTTCCGTCTTTCCTCCTCCCCTCCTCATGGCCCTGTCCAGCTCACAAGTAGAGCCTGTCAGCTTTGCCTCCGAAGTGCATCTTATATTGGACCGCCTCGCTTTGTCTCTACCCATTGTGAGCCCAGTCCAGGCAGCTGCCATCTTTTGTCTGGATGACCAGACTTGCATCCTGACTGGTCTCCCCACATGCATTCTGCCCTACAATTGATTCTTCATGCCGTGGCCAGAGGGATCTCTCACAGGTGTAAATCAGATTCTGTTACTCACTTCCTGTTTGGCCTTCTCCCGGCTTCCTAAGTGCTTGAGAGGAGAATGCAGATGCCTCACCCTGGTGCTCAGAGCTTCATGATCTGGCCCCCCCTGCCTTTTCTGCTTCCTGGATGGAAAGGCCTGGAATGCTCTAACCTCTGCTCTTTGTACACCTGGCTCCCTCTGGTCCTCCTCTCTCAGCTGCTGGGTCACTTCCTCAGAGAGGCCTTCCCAGATTATCTCATCTAAAGCAACTCCCCAGCCACTCATGAGCACTTGCTTTCTCTGGTATTTTTTGTTATATCCTCACCCCTGGACCTGAGTTTTCTATTGTAAAGCAGGGACCTCATTTATGCTAGTACACAGGTCAATACTTCACACATGGTGAAGACACTGCAGAAAAAATGCATAGTTTGCAAAGGGCTTCCACAGAGGGTGTGTTCTTTAAGGCCGCCAGCACCTTACCTGGGTGGGAAGGATTGTCTCCAGGTGATGGGTGAGGAGATGAGGCCTTCATTACGTGGCTTGCCGAAGGGACCTAAGCTGCATGGCTAGCAATGAGGGAGGCGGACTTGAGAAACAAAGCCTAGAATGGTGTCACAAGGTGCCACTGGAAAGTCCACATCGTGAGGCTCTGGAGTCTATACCCGAGTGTGCTGGGAAGGTGGCTGGGGTGGTGGCAGGGACATAAAGCCAGAGAACAGTGCCAGTGCTGCACCTCAGCTGTTCCTGCGGCGGGCTCTAGGCTCGGGGTTCCCCTGGCCCCTCTTCCGATGATAGTATAAGGCAGGGGCGCCTGGCTGGCTTAGTTGGTGGGCCGAGTGACTCTTGATCTTGG